GCTGTTGAAACTGATGGCAGGATATGAATTGTATGGCCTGCATGCTCACATGCGTGCCTTGTGCACAATGAACATTGCTGCATAGCGCCATACAGTATATGCAGCTGTATATATATATTGAGCTTTTCACTGTTTATTGAATATAGTACATTGATTGCACTTTGAATATGTTTGTTACCTTGGTGTATGGATAATTTCTATCAAGACAGTCTCACTTTCACCTACTATACTTCTGAACAATTGCCAGAACAATTATATACTGTAGCTCTGGCTATATTTAGCTCATGGCAGCCTGGGTGATGATGTAACTGTGTCTCCATGGCCCCTGGGTAGCCTGAGCACCTCTATTGCCCACTTTGGTATTATTATCATATTATTAAGACCATACACAGCAGTTAGGCTCCCATCACGTAATTTATTCACAACAGCTGCCAAAATGAATATTATGGGTTAACTAAACTACTATGCTTCTTCTCAGAACACAGAGTTGAAAGGATTTATGAACTGCCTTGATTTCTTCAATGCTATGTGTTCAGTCCTGTTTTTACAATGATGTTTTTCTTGTGGCTGCAGCTTGTAGCTCAGGTTATGGAGGAGAAAGACATTGGGTTTGGAATGGTAGACTCCCACAAAGATGCAAAGGTAGCAAAGAAACTGGGTGAGTATATGGATACAGCACAAGCTATTTTAGATCGATGCTTGCAATTCCTGATAAACGATTGGCCGTAATCACAGATTTAATCAAGAGTCAAATAACTTGAGTAAACAATATAAATCCATCTAACAACATGATTTACCTCAATGACAGGCCTGGAGGAGGAGGGCAGTGTGTATGTTTTCAAGGCCGATCGGATGATTGAGTTTGACGGCTTACTCTCAGCTAACATTCTGGTGGAGTTCTTGTTGGACGTAAGTAGACTGGTATAAAAGCAGATTCTCAGCTGCTAGCACAAATCAACACCAGTTTAGCCAATGTTACAGGCATACCCCATACTCTCTCTGTATGTATGTCTCTAGCTGTTGGACGACCCAGTGGAGGTTTTAGAAAATGCTCTGGAGCTGAGAGCTTTTGATAGGATGGAGGAAGACATCCGCCTCATTGGCTACTTCAAAAGCGAGGAATCTGAGCGTGAGTGTGTGAGGCATGAATATATATATAAATAATGTTTGCTTTTCCGCTTACCAAAACAACGCTCTCATTAGCTGGGTCTGTGTGGGGCTTTCTTTGGCCCATGACCTTCATTATAACATAATTTAACTCCGTCATCTCCATGGATTTACAGATCCATTTTTACATCTGCTGCCCACACAGCTGCCCTTGCTTGGTCCCATTTCACAGGCTGAGTAGTTTAGTTGTGGTGCTGAGCTGCAGCTACATCCCATTTGACTAACTGTGGGAATATTAGTTGGAGGTCAAAGTTCATCTATTTCCGATCCCTAATGTGCAAATGTCATGTAACAGCCAGAGGAAGCACAAACAGATGCATGACCAGAAAAACAAGACTGCAAAAAAAAACAGATTTGCTTGCAACATAAATAATAAACATACGTAACTCTTTCCTTCACACTGCACTTTTTCATCCTCAGACTATGAAGCATTTAAAGAAGCTGCAGAGCAGTTTCAGCCATACATCAAGTTCTTTGCCACATTTACGAAATCTGTAAGTAATAAATCACAAGCAAAAATGTAAACATGCAAGCATCATTTTTCTTGAATCATTGTATGTTGCTTCAGGTTGCCAAAGAGCTGACTCTGAAGATGAATGAGGTGGATTTCTACGAGCCCTTCATGGAGGAGCCAGTCACCATCCCCGGCAAGCCTCACTCTGAGGAGGAGCTGGTGACATTTATAACTGAACACAGACGGTAAACAAAGCGGAATATTTAACTAAATAATCAGACAAATGTGTATCCAACCAATATTGTTTATAATAACAGTTTAACACTCACATTCTCTGTGCTATCAGACCAACTCTGAGAAAGCTGCGTCCAGAAGATATGTTTGAGACCTGGGTAAGGGATGATTGACAAACAACTTTAATTTAGTTTCATATAGTTTACACTGACACTAGTAACATGACATTTATAAATCTTGCTTTTCTCAGGAAGATGACATTGAAGGCATCCACATTGTGGCTTTTGCAGAGGAGGAGGACCCTGGTAAGGGCATCTTTTACATTCAAGGGGATAAACCTGAGTTGTAAAATACATTCAATATCCACAACGGAATTAGTCAACAAGAAGTTTGGAGACTCTAGTGCCCTGGTATTCAATCTGTGATTGTGTAGCACCTGTCATACCACTTTACGACTGACATGCTAATAATAAAACAGTACAACAAAACAATATGGGCAGTTTGAGGTTAATTCTTCATGGAAAATACAAATGCTAAAATTCTCATAAGAAATCCAATAAAACTCATAAATAAAGAAAGAGAACAGATAATTAACTATAGCAAGAAAGCAATACAAAAAGTGAAAACATTTGTGTATGCCACCACTGACAGTCACTCCAGCAGAGAGGTAGCATAATGCTAAGCTGCATTAGGCTGAAAGCAGGGGGAAATATTTCAGGAAGTCACTATTAAATCAAAGTAAACGTGTTGGGTTTAGACCTAATCTTGTTTTTTACCTTTCAAGCATGATGTATAATGTGTTATTTAGTTAGCTTTAGAGATGCTGTTAGGTGGATTTTGTGATCTTCATAAGGTGCCTTGCTAGCTGTTCCCCCTTGTTTGATGTTTTCATGCTAACCAACTGCCCACTAGTTGTAGCCTTTTACGTAAACTGTTGACATGTGAGTGGTGTTAATCTTCTGAATTTACAAAGAAAAGAGTAGGTTTTATCCCCAACATGTCAACTGTTTCTTTAAATGGGTGAACATGTGTTTTCTCTTAGACCAACGTTTTTTAATTAATTGATGTTGTGTGAATCTGCTTGCAGATGGTTTTGAGTTTTTGGAGATCCTGAAGGAGGTTGCAAGAGACAACACGCACCTTCCTGACCTCAGCATCATCTGGATTGACCCTGATGATTTCCCCCTGGTGAGTAATCAAGAAAAGTACATTTGTGGATGGGAATTAGCTTACATGCTGCAGGTCTGATGTCATTTCTTTCGCTAACCCCTTTTCAGCTGATCCCCTACTGGGAGAAGACCTTCAAGGTGGATCTGTTCAGACCACAGATGGGAGTTATCAACGTTACTGATGTGAGTCCCTGGCAACATGTGTGACGTGACACAAATGTTTTGTTGAGTTTCTCCCGACATTATTTAACCTTTCTGTCTGTGAGCAGGCTGACAGCGTGTGGATGGAGATGGACGACGAGGAGGATCTGCCCACCGCCCCGGAGCTGGAGGACTGGATCGAGGATGTGCTCTCTGGCAAAATCAACACTGAGGACGATGATGACGATGATGATGACGACGACGATGATGATGAAGACGACGATGATGAAGATAACGATGACAATAATAATGAGGAGGATGATGATGATGATGATGATGACGACGACGAGGACGACGATGACGATGATGATGACGATGATGATGATGATGATGATGATGATGATGATGATGATGAGTAATTCATAGTCTAATCCTTGTGAATGTTGACTTTTCTGCTCAGTTTTTTCCCCTCAGGTTAAGTTTACCATGGATTTATTACAAACTAGTGTACAGAATAATTACTTTTAACAAATAAACAATATCAAATGTGTAGTGAAAATGTGCCTGCTAATAGAAATAAATATATTTAATGTTAAAAAAATATATTACAAATGACATTGTAAATAATCCTGGAATGGGTCCTGAGATTGCAAACAAAATATATTTATTCAAAGGTTATAAATACACTGAAAATGTCAACTATCCCTGTCATCTAATACAATATGTATTTTAAACCATAACACTTCAAGAGAAAAAAGTACTCACTGCAACGTTTTCACAGTAAAACTAATAATGTGAAGGGGTTTTAAAAGCTGAACATCCATAACAAAGGTTAACAGGATGAAATAACACTTATCAATCATTGATACAAAAAATAAAATCCTTTGAAAAGGTTGATACAAATATTTATTTTTTTACAAATGTGACTTTGACACAGCTGCTGTGATTTTGAATGTTGTGTTGTATAAAAGAAACAGGGACAGCGTTTAACAATTTATGTTCTTCATTATGTTCCCTTTTTCCTTTTCACTCTCTCTCTCTCTCTCTCACACACACACACACACTTGAAAAAATGCATCCTAAATATGTATGACTGAGGCACACGTGTAGTCTACAGCTATTTACAACCATCAACACACAAAAGCCTAAACATAACTACACCGCCAGTGACCCCAGAAACACTTGTGTAAATATACATTTACAACATAAGAGGCCTCATAAATACAAAGGGTTTTCAGAATACAGATATATATATTGATACAACTTAACAGTTTGATTGATGCTCAGGATAGTGTTGATGTTCCAGTAGCTGTAGAAAGGTGGCAGTAGTGTGACACTGAGACAAAATACTGAAAGCAGAAACACTGACAGTCGGTTGAGCTAATTTAGACTAAATTATTCAATTTCAACACTTGGTTAAGCACTTTCCTGCATGAGATAACTCACTATATATTTTGGTGAGACGTTTCCAAATCCTCGAATTTGCTGAAGTAATATTCCTTTAAGTTGTACATTATCTCATGCTCCAGGAACTTGCATTATGCAGATATATACACCCTCCTTACTGTGAATTAAGATATAAATGTAAGGACATATGTTCTGAAATTCAACAGCGCACATGGTAACGTTAAATACAAGATATGAACATGAATTTAGTCATCCAAAAATGTAGTCTCTCTGATAGTCCACAAAAAGATCAGTGTGCACTGCACACACTTAACTGTCCACACATAGCAAGTGTCTATTGGCTGCACCATCTATATTCAGCTGTACTTCGGTTGGCATTCAGTCCAGGAGATTCCAGTGATTTTGACATTTACAAACATTTCTTCATCTTCTGTTCACAGTCCAGTTTATCTTCACAAATACAGCTCAGATACAAAATAAAAGACAATGTTTGACAAGGTTAAAAAAAAGAAATCATTCAAGCAATGCACAATTTTGATATAAAAAGTCTGGAGGGATAACAAATATTCACATATAAATACTGTACATAAATCTGTAATACAGGACAGTTAAATAATCGTGGCTTAGACTCAAAATGAGAAGTTTTGGTGAAAAGGGTTTAGGTTTTTATCAAATATCCTGGTCAGTATGGTAAGGAGAAAGAAGAGACAGGTCGAGACCGATTTGGTGTGGTATCTACACCCCTAAAGGTGTGAAAACACACTCCACCTAAATCATGAACTCCCCCACGCAGGCACACCCTGGCACATGCAAGTAAAAGGAAGATGTACATTTGTGAGGGTCGTCTGTACTGCATATAGGAAAACCAGACTGTGTTCTGGACTTATCAGGACAGAGAAATCCAAGCATCTCTACCGTCTCCTGTCATTTATCGTCTTTTATGTCGACCAGGACAAAGACAGGGACACAAAGTTACTCAATGTGGAAAATTACACAAGCATAAAGTACAAAAAAACAGTACAAAAAGTTATTTTTGGAAAAATTGTCCTGTAAATCCAGCACTGTGTTAAACTGAGGTTTCTGATTGGAGCAGAAGTATAAACTTGTGAGACTTGGGGTCGATGAACTCCTCAGTCAGACGGATGTAAGGGATGCCCTTGACAGTCACAGCTAAGTTAAAGTCAAGACATCTCAGCAGGAAATCTGACCCTTCCTTTAAACCACTGGTGACAGAAGCCTCGCTGACCAAAGTCCACTGGTCAGCCATCCAGCGCTCAGGCCCGTACTGCAGGGTCGGTCCAGGAGCCAGGTAGCCCTCAAGAAAGGCCTGAAAACACAGAAACAGACAATTATACAACATGTTTACCCAGAAAATCACTTGGCACAATCCTCAGAAAGGTTCAAACGAACGGGTGCTTTACAAATCAAAAGCAGAACCCACCTTTGGGCTCATGTTGTTGACCAGACAGAAAGCAAGGTGCTTCTGGATGCTCTCCATGCTGTGGCAGTGCTGCCTCCTGGTGGTGCGGAGGTACTTTTGCAGGGCACGCGCCATAGAGGGAAATATAGCCAGAGCTGCTTCACGCACATCCATGATGTCAGACGGTGTTGCCTGCTCATCCTCTTTCTTCATCCGCCGGATATGTGTGAAGGCCTCCTCCACAGCCACCACCAGCCTGACAGAGAGGGGACAAACATAGATTAACAGGGGGCTTAATGTCAGCTCTCTAGGCACTGGTGTTTAATACAGTAAGTAATACTATAGTATAGAGTAATCCTTGACTCTCTCTTAGTCTAATGAAATTGTGAATCTAAAGACCGTGCATGAGCATAGAATGATGAGAAAAGACTGGATACAGAGTGGTGATGAGGTAGTTTTTGTATATTAATCAAACAGAGGAAGGATGTCCACAGTATCCTAAGGTTGACAGTTCACAATGTTTCATGGATTTTCCCTAACTACTGTTTTAAGACACATTAAACAAATGTGTGAACCCATTCTATGAGGAGAAACAAGATGTGGATTCAGACGGACATGCACAATTCCAATCACATGCAGAGGGGCATGTCTGAAATAGTCTATAGATCAGTTAGTTGCCCTCAGACATAGGGACTTTTTGTTCCCTTGACTCACCTTGCTCTACGTTTACGGACTCTTCTCTCGTAATCGGCCTCTTCGTAGTACAGCTCATTGTGGGCGCTGTCTTTGCGTTTGGCGGCAGCTGTAACCATGGCCCGGGACTGATTCCCATTACCAGGCTGCGCTCCTGCTGTGTTCCCCGGGGCTGCACCAAAAGGAGAGGACAGAAGCAAATTGGTTATATCATTGTGAGCAGGAGCCCCAGCCAGGGTCTAACTCTGATTAATGGACTGTATCTCACACTCAATCGTGGACAGGAAAGGTCAGATGGTAGCTCAGACCGCACAAATCACTGGAGGTGAAAAACTGCTATGAATCAATCTTTTTCGACAGTATTATTTCCAGTGTTAGGTTTTAGAAAGATTTGAGACGGAAGTTTGTAAATCCGTGTTACTTATCTGGGGCATCCTTCCAGATCATGTGTCTCAGTCACAGAGAATGTTCATTTTAGCAATGAGCAAAGAGGCAATTTCCACTTGAAGCGTCAATCTTTCTCTGATACAGAAACCTGCTGGGTAAATTGAATATTCATAATTTCACACTTCAAAGGCCATGGTTGCTGTCTGATCTGTGAATGTATTGGTTAGTCTGACAAACCCATAAAGCTAATGGAGCTTGTACGGCAGTATATTAGAGTTCCTGGGGTTTTATTGTGGGGGAGTATTGCATGGTCCATATTAATGAAGGTCAGTACAGTTTGGGGGAGGTTATAGAAAGTAAACGCTGCAGGTCAGGTAAGGATATAAATCCTTTATTATCTGATCTGCATATATGCATTTATGTGTGTGAGCAGGTGAGATGGGAATCCGAATGTAGCAATAAAACATAGGTGAAAAACCATGCTTGTGAATACTGTAGAGAGAAGATCATTTACACAGGGAGCATTGTAAATATTTTCCACAGAAAACATGGGTAAACACCGGTCTCTTTGACTTCCTGGCCTACATATTCATGCTATAAGAGGAGTGTCTTTGAATGACGGTGAATGAGGAAGAGGGAGGGGGGGTGGTGGAAGTGAGTGAAAAATGAAAAGAAAGATGAGGGAGAAAAAAGGGAAGCGAGAGTGAGCCGAGCGGGAGGAATGAGAGATGTGGGAGAATGTGAGGAATGAGAGTTACTCTGATGAATTATTTAAGGCTTGATATTCCACGGCCCCCGGGAGGCCTCTCCGCTGCACTTTGATAGGGAAGGGGGTGGGGCGGGTGGGAGGTGCTATAAGGACACCATATCCCATACTGCCTCTCTGCCATACATCATCAAATGCACTGTGCTGTGAAGCGGGTGGGGCATTTACTGGTGGTGAGTGGAGGTCCCTTTAAACAGCAGGAGTAGTGCAATAAGTGTTATTACAGGCAGGATGTATGTGGTTACAGTGAACCTATCACAAGCTTTGTAGCGCCACAGTTGGGTTTGTGTGAGTCTGAGTGTGTGTGTCAAAGACGAAAGCTTCAGGGTGCAGTAAAGATGCCGGGAACTGAACCGTGAAATTAGTGGCTTCCTGTGATAAAGTGCTGGGTAGAGTGATCTTGGGGACTTTTAACTGTACTTACTGTCCAAAAGGTATGTTCTCAGTTTGTTTTTAAAAGCTGCTCAGGGAGGAGATGGAGATGAAAATAGAAAACATCACAACCAGTATTTAGAAGGGGCGTCAGAATAAAAAAACAGGTCTCTGTTATACTATGTCAAAAATAGAATTTGACTATTTTTGACATAGTATAACAGAGAACAGCTCCATCAAATAATCAGACTTCAGATAGATGTTGATTAATTTCTGCACAAATCTGTCTATTTTAAGTATGACTTGAAATGTAGAGAAGCCACATAACACTGTTCAGCTCCTTTTACTGAAGAACATAAAGATATTGTTCAGTTAGTTCACTGCTGTATATTAAAGTCTCTAAAATGTTCCCTTTTCTCATTAATCATTCCATAGAATTGTTAGCAAAGGAACTGGTCAGCATGTGTCACTGATTGTTGCCATAGATTTTGGATCTCATTTCAAACTGAGCCTTGTGGTGTGGCTAATGTTTGAAATAAGTGAGATGTTAAAACTCTCAGTTAATTGGTCCCTGGAGCCAATGAAATACTGAGATGGACAGCTTCAGAAATAATGCAAATTATAGGAGGTCATAATTGGGACTAACCATCCACGTTGTAGACCTTCAACCCAGCCAGGTGTTTGGCAGCCCGATGCTTTGAGGCAGAGAGAAGGGCTGGGTTATGGAGAGGGAAATCTCTGTAGTAATACTCCAAAATGGTTAGAGCGGCCTTTTGAACGCTGTGTGAGAAAAGAAAGAAATGTAGGGAGTAAATACAGAGACAACATACATACAGAAACTGAATTAAAATGTTGGCTCAATTAGAGTACCCAACCAAAAGCAACATAAGGTGTACCTCTCCAATTAGCATTTTACCTTAATTATATTGCGGAACACAACTAAAAAAGGTCCTAATGAAATGCAGCAGAACCAATCATATTGTCTTTTTTATTTCACACACTATTCTTTTATTACACAAACATTTTCTAGTTACCACAGTTGTCCCCTAGTCCTGTCTTATTCACACACTCAATCAGCGCAGTAACAGAGTAAGACAGCCAAAGGACGAGTGCCTGTGTCCGGCCCTTCGTCATCCCTCCCCCCCAAACTCCTAGAATAGCTCGCCTTGGGCAAACTAGACGAAGAGGCCGATGAGTAACTCAATTACCGCCAATGCCAGTCAGTCCTCCCTGTGGACATTGGCCTCCAATTACATGCATACTTCAACAGCATAATGAGTGTGACCAAGTGCTAGTGTGTGTGTGCCTCAGTGTGTACTGTACAGAAAGGTCACTCACATGTAAATTAGAACATGCTCGTATTTAGAGTTTGTTCTTTATCTTTCCTTTTTCATTAGAAACTATTTAAAGCACATTGGAAGGTAAAAATAGTGTTTGTGTACCTAAGCTGTCCTATGTTGTAGTGACGTGTCTCTCCGTCAGTGGAGCGGATGACACACACGCTGTAGCAGGGCTGGAGGTGACGGAGCTCCAGCAGCACCACCGCCAGGTAGTGGACGAACAGCTGGGAGTCCACCAGGGACACTGCAAACTGGACAATCCCATGGTAGTCCTCATCCTGCTCAGAACACATCACAGGTTTAATTAAAACACTCACTGCTCATTACAAAAATTACAAGGAATTGGCTAAAAGATAATAACTTGGAGTAAATGGAATGGATGGAATGGATAAAACAACTATGAGAATTAGAAACCAAATGCATATCTTTGAGGAAAGATGGGAAAAATGGGTAGAGTATAGAACACTATAAAGAAGACTTATAAGGAACATGAGGTAAGATTTGACCTCATGGGCTGCTTTCATTTCAAGTTTATTCTTGCCTTTTCCTTTGATTCGTAAATCGAGGGTAAAACAAACAACTTTAAAATAATCTGTAGATTAATCCATTAAAAAAATGGTTGTGACCAATTAATGTATACCTGAGTATTAATATTGTATCCATTCTTGTATTTGTATTATTATTATTACTATATTATTTCATTTTGGATTTCGCAATTGTTATGTAGTTAACGTATGTACCTAGATGTGTTTATTTTGTTATGTATGCTTTGTGAATACTTTATTTTCTAAAAACACTCACTGCTGGATGAACAACTTTTTTTCCGCATTTAAATACTTAACTAGATACGTGTCATTGAGAATGATTATCTTATTTTAAATTGAACAATTGAAAGACATTTTTTTTTCTTGAATTGGTAGCCAAGTTATAAGACAAATAAGTCATTTCTTAGGCCAAAATAGGTGGCAATAACACACTTTACAATTGCTATAGAGAATGGCTTATGATATTTAATTGTTCAATATTTTCAAACAATACAACGTGTATTAATCTAAACTCTGTGAAAATAAGAACATTAAACTCTTGATTGTTTACTTTAATTAAAAAATATATAATGTAAAAGCTTAAATAACAGCAATATAAATCAATAACTTTGTAAAAAATCAGAGTACGTGTTATCTTGAAAGCCATAAAAAAAACGTTATTGCTGTGGCTCGCTCTCAAACCCACCTGTGCTTCAAGGATCCGGACCCCAAAGAAGAGCCAATAAGACATGGTGAGCAGGAGTGTGAGGGTGGTGAGGAAGGCACGGTACACACACACTCGGGGCAGGCTTGCCCGGCCCGGCTTGAGAAACAAGGCCCACATGGCCATCAGGAGGATGAGGAGCTTGAAGGCGAGGGAGAGGAAGAGGCCCTCACAGGCTGTGCCACAAGCCTGCAGCCTGTCTGGCCACATAAAAACCGGAAGAAGCAGGAAGGCCAGGGGCGTGGCCAGCACCAGCAGCCCCACCAACGAGCCAACAGCCAGGGGAAGATAACGGCGGAAATCTTCAGTCCGGTCGTGCAATCCCTTCCCCAGTCCAACCACTTCCTCCTGGGAAATACTCAGCTCTGAGGTGCCTGTCACTGCGGTGGTGGTCTCCCCCCAGTTATCATCCTATGAGAGGAAAGAAAGAAAGAAAGGTGAAGGAAAGGTATCTTACAAGACTTCAAGGGATTCATTGGTTTAATTGTCTATGTGTCCATGTTGATTCACCCACATTACTCAAAATACTGTTTCTCCATCCATTGAAGCTTCTGGTCTTGTGAGTATCATAATTGTTACACTATGTTCACCAACAGGTCGAAGCGATACGGTACAATATGATACGACACGATTGAAAACTGTGCCACTGTTTTTATTTTCTTATTTATTTATTTTTACTAAAAACTGCTACAAGTGAATGAGTTCATTGCTTTGGGAATAAAGAATGAGCTGGAGGTCTTCCTAGAGTTAAGTGGTACAGATGTGAGTAATAAAAGCATGTATGAGTGAGCCCTTTTTCATACTATCCATAGATATTTGATCCATTATGGGCCAGCAACTGTGAGCAGAAAATAAATTCCTTCACCTCTATCGTCTTGGTGTCGAGGTAAACATCTCACTGAAAAATATCTTAAAACCCTGGCCAGGAAAACTATCATTATCTACATTCCTAAATACCACAAAACGTAAGAGAGATGTCTTTCTTTGTCATTATAAAATAGCTGACTAAATTGGCAAATCAGAGTAAAATTCATGAGAAACTGGCAAATCAACTCATAAATGTAGTCCTGAATCTGAGAGGGAACAATGCCTCCATGTTCTCAATGTTATGCCCCGTGCACACAGCAGATCCTCCATGTCGTTAAGAGATGTTTGGGTTTCTTGGAGTTTTGCCTCATTATGACAGGCCTTCAAAGTCACACACACACACATACAGTGATTCACAACAACAAAAAAGAAGGCTTTCCAGGCCCGTCATTGCAAATTAGAGTCCAGGTTGTTTTCTCCTAGCCGGGCAGGGTCATTTTAAGCATAAATCTTTCCCAAAAAGAAAGACAGGGAGTATTTATTTTATTGTGTGCCTGTCATGAATTCAGATAATTATCTGTTCATTGTTCCCCAGAGTGTCACTGCATTGTGTATTCCTCCGACTACAACCAATCACAGGAGGAGCAGCTGCAGAGAGAGGGATGGAGGCTAGATAAAGAGACAAGCTGAGCAGATAAGCTTTCGTGGCTTCACACACATGTGCACACCACACACATGTGCACACACACGTGCACACACACACACACACACACACACACACACACACACACACACACACACACACACACACACACACACACACACACACACACACACACACACACACACACACACACACACACACACACACGTAAGCACATCAAACAGCCAGTAAAGCCCCAAACTCGCACCACCCGGGCCTGATGGAGCTGCTGGGAAACCAGACAGGCTGTGGGTAACACAGACAGGCGACAGCCATATGTACTCTCACCTGTCTGGAGCGTGTGTATCTAAACTGTGCCTATTAAGAAGTTAATATAACATTAGCAGATTACGTTAAATTAATCCTACTGCTATTTGTGGAATGTGAAATTGACATTGTATTTTGCATATTTCCAATCAGGAAAATGCCTCAAGAATACGGTGCATAAATATGAATGCTGCCCTCCATTACTGTTCACAGCTAATTAAGTCAGCCATGGTGGAGGAGGGGAAGCCATCAGGAGCCAGAAGATGAATGAGCATAGAAGAGGAGAGGGAGGGAAAGTGAGAGAGGGAAGGTAGACGTGGTTTAAGGTGTGGTATAGATATAAGAAAGGAGACGAGGGTATGCAGAATCAGCATTTAATTCAAGGTATCTGTCTTCCAGAGTAATGTGTAAGGCCAGAGGTCAGTAAGTGCATTGTCGACTCCATTTAGTGTCTCATTTCAATTCCTCTCACATCTCTCCTCTTTGTCTCCCTCTTGTCTCAAGCCCACTCTTTTAAGAGGATACCAAGACAGGCTCTGTGAACAATCAACGTCATTCCAGACTTTGGACAAAGAGCAGAACAAATGGGGATACAAAAACAATATCCTATTAAGCTTGACAGTTTATTCTTAACTGTAGTTGACTAAACAATAATATCCAGTTAAGGTCCACTTATTTACCTGTTCTGAAGCGTTTGACAGCATTACACAGTTTTCATCAGCAGATAAAGTTTGCCCAGTTGTTACTTGCGGATATATCCTGCCTTTAATCTAATCCAATCCAATCCAACTTTATTTATATAGCACTTTAAAACCTCCAGACCAAAGTGCTGTACAGAGAGATACATACAATATAAAATCACACAGCTCAGCTCACAAAACATTAAATAAATAAATACATACAAAAAAAAGATACAAACACAAAACAAACCAGAATAAACGTAACAATTACAAAATAAAAAACATAAAAACAGCCATATAATAAAAACAATAGACCACTGAAAGCAAATAAAAGCAACAATCTACTTGTTTACGAATGCTAAGGAGAAAAGGTGGGTTTTAAGACGGGATTTAAAAACAGACAGTGTGGGAGCCTGTCTGATTAGCAAGGGCAGGTCGTTCCACAGTTTAGGGGCGGCAGCAGAGAAAGCACGGTCCCCTCTGCGCACCCTCAGGAGCAACTGATCAGCTGACCTGAGAGTGCGAGTGGGCGTGGGCGTGTAGCTGTGTAACAGCTCAGAGAGGTAGGGCGGGGCCAGGCCATTGAGGGCTTTAAAAGTAAATAAAAGAGTTTTAAAATGAATCCTCGAATGAACGGGCAGCCAGTGGAGTGAAGATAAAATGGGGGAAATGTGCTCGTGTTTGCATGTGCCAGTTAGTAGCCGTGCTGCTGCATTTTGCACCATCTGCAGGCGAGCAAGGGAGGACACACTTATCCCCATATATAGTGCATTACAATAATCCAAGCGGGAGGTGAAGTCATAGTGGGCTAGTGTTTATTTTTCTCTCACTTTTGTCCCTCTATTCACATGAAGCTTCTGTTTATCTCAAACAATAAATGTCCTTCAGAGTAGACGTATAAAAACTCCTGCTGCTTGGAATAATGTGGACAATGTAGATTTTCGCCATCATAAAATATTTAATTGACTTTTTCTACTTGGTGCTTAAAATGCTGTTTGTTTATTGTATCAGCCAATATCAGATCAGTATTGTATACTTGTTCAGATGTCTGACAAAAGAAGCAGAAACATATGCAAACGAGAATGACTAAATCTCCAGTTTGGCTATACCTAAAGTAGTGGTGATAATGCGCTCATGAGAAGCTGAGACTATTTGTGTCACTCAGAGACACACCAGATGTGAGCTCTAAGGCACTGTTTTGTCAGATGAAAGAGGAAGAAGAGTAAATATAGCTTAATGTTTTCCCTGTATTTTACAAACATGAACAAGATTGGCACCTGGTTTGGTGTCTTGGGTATTTTTCAAGGAAGACATTTTGACATGTCACTAAAGAAAAGGCACAGGTGTCAATGATGAAATGAATTTCCTGGTATTGCGTGTGTTGCCTCACTGTCACTGCTTACTGAAACATTTAATAGAACTGATCCACCTTACATTTTATTAGTAACCACTGTGCTTTTCCTACTGATAAATCAAAATGTCTGCTGTGAAAAAGACAAATAAAACAGACATTTCAGTAAGCTCAGGTAAAGGATGCACCCTTATCTTCTAAATCAGCTTTTTCCTTTATGTAGACAAGCGTTCATGCTAACGTCTATAGCGAAAGAAACAGTGTATCATTCACTGAGCTGATAAAACCAGCCATTAAACCTCAGTGGATTAATCCTTACAGATTAATGCCTTACTAATCAGGCCTGATCTCTACATACAGTACAGTGAGGAGGAAGAGGAAGTCACTGAGAGAGGATGTAACGGAGAAGGTTTACGGGAAAGAAGGGGGGGGAGCATGAGTGCTGCTGCTTGCTTGGCAGTTGTTTCATCTGGCAAAGGGTGAACATGGATTATTGTTAGGCCTGTTCCACCCTCACAAAGCACAACAACACAACAACATACTGATTAGCACTGTTCACACAGACTCACACATACACACACCAACAGTCTGCCAGCTACAAAACACAATAGCTAAGCCCCTCTGGCCTGGGTGGAGGACATTTACACTTTGGTATGTTTGGCAGCGTGTAGTGTCATTGTGCATAAGTCATTGGAGCAAAAACCAATAACATTAATATAAATGCTTGACAGATTTCCTATAATTAACTTCATTCTTTTAATTGTGGTGATTAATTTAACATTACATACAAGATGTGAGGGTAACAGCAATTAATAGGTGTGTAGGAACATCTATTTAAATAAAAAAAAAGGTGCAAAAGCAATGTGTGAAGTGCCAAAACAGGAGAATGTGTTTTTCCCCCATACGCTTTGGCGCTGCTAAAGCTAACATTGTGAATTGAAGCTTTTGCCTTCTGGCACAAAGTCACAGCATCAAGTCTCACAAAGCAGCATGGACAGTCTCAATAACAGACTTGGCGCCCTCTGTAGGACTCACACACACACACACACACACACACACACACACACACACACACACACACACACACACACACACACACACACACACACACACACACCACACACACACACACACACACACACACACCACACACACACACACACACACACACACACACACACCACACACACACACACACCACACACACACACACACCACACACACACCACCACCAAGACCGTATCCTTATGTCATGGGCATGCGTGTAAACATGGCGGATTATTCATATCAGTTTTCTCTCAAAGTGGCATTTGGCTGGACACTGAGGCTAATCTCAGCCTGTGAGAATGTCTCTTTGCAGCGGAGCCTGTTAGTGTTACAAGTCCAGAAGAGCCCAGTCAGGGGTGGACTGTGGTGGTAATGATGGTGCTGCTGCTGCTGTGCCATTTGGACACATATCTGGAGGGCTAATGCAATACAATAGCAGATTACCTTACATTGTGGACAATGGACGACGGACGTATGCTACGAGCTGACAGTCACATGACATTGTGGAATGTGTCTGCCCAGCCAGAAGGGGATTCTGAGCGGAGACTACACAATAGTTCATACCTACAAAATTGAGTCGATAAATCTAACTGAAGACATGTTTAAAGTCTTATTTTATCTAATTATACTCTAGAGTAATTTTTTAAAATGCAGATTGTTTTCAGCCACTGTACATACACAGCTTGTCTCCTTTTTCTCAAACCAACAATACATACACAATGACAAAACCTTATTTTTTTATTATAGATTTCAAGTAGGTCAGAGAGCCTGTGAATGCAGCCCTAGGCAGAGTTTTGTCTAAAGAGACATAAACATGACTCTTGTTTCTCTTTCTTAGGTTGTCTTACTGCTTCTACCTCAGCTTTCTTAACTTTCATTTGAATTTTACCTGAACCTCTGCAATAAAAGGAATAGTCTGATATCTTGGAAAATACGCTTATTTGCTTTCTTGTTTAGAGTTAGATGAGAACATAAATCTCTGCCTGCTGAATATTAAGCCGAAGCTACTGTATTAAGTTCAGCATAAATTATGGAAATATTGCACAAAAATGCATACCACCACTTCTCAAGCTCACTAATCAACAATGTAAATTCATTTGTGTGTTAAATAGCTTTAAAAAAAACGTCTATAAAGACAACAATTTGCTGTTTTATGAGCGGTTATGCCTGGTGATATCATGATGATAGTTTACAGGAAGTCCTGCTCGTGCCAAAAGAAATAGTCTGGCACATAACGCCATGTAAAACCTCAACTGGCTGTTTTTACAGTTTAGTTATTTTACAGATTACCAGGGTATATGGCCAGTAAATTAGAGAATTTAAGGGTTGCTGGTAAGTAGAATACAAAAACAGAGCTATAACAGAGCGAGGCTAGCCATTATTCCCCCTGTTTCTAGCCTTTATACCAAGCTAAGCGAACCAACTGCTGGTTACAGCTGACAAACCGATGACTGTGATTGATCTCCTCATTTTAAAGTATTTTAAATAATGATCACGGCATAAAACCATCTTTAATCCCAGCTGCGTTGACCTAGCTAAATACCCATTCTGTCTTTGAGCTGCATTATCACAGCATTGCACTTCCCTGTTTCTACTTATCTTGCTTGCAGAGCTCAGAAAAATCAGCTCTATAGAAAAACTGGTACAAATGTGCTTTCAAAGCGATCAGGCTGTATGACCGTTATACCCAGTCTTACACACACACACACACACACACACAACACACACACACACACACACACCACACACACACACACACACACACACAACACACACACACACACCACACACACACACACACACACACACACACACACACACACACACACACACACACACACACACACACACACACACACACACACACACACACACACACACACACACACAGCATTGTCCGTACAAATCCGTACAAATCCGTCCAGGCCTAGAAGTGGGATGCAAATCCTCTGACCTATTTGATCCCTCGTCACTATTGTTATTATGTGTCAGGCGCTGAGGCAATGGGCAGCCAGCCGACGAGAGGACGGGTTTAAAAAAGGTCATGGTTCATACTGTAGATGGATTACTGCAGATTGAGATTCTGAAGGACTAAATGACTTTTCTAAAAAACAGCCTTCATTCCTTCACAGTTTTTTGTACACTTTCATGGAAAATACCTGGGCATCATCTCCCTGATCTTCTGCTGGTGTGGGTTCTCCTGGCAGGGGCTCTCCATTGGTAACGGGGGACTCCTGGGAGGGCGTGTCGGGGGGGTTGATGACGACGGACCTCTCAGAGCGAACGCTGTCTTTACTGCTTGCCTTGTGCCGCTCACGGCTCCGATCGCTAGAGAAACACACGATGAAGATTAGGAATGTCAGCAGAGGAGACATCAGATAAGATCAAAAACATATACACCATGTGCCTACATAGTTGTTTCTGATTAATCTGGAGGGTTTTCCTTATTGTTTCGTCTATAACATTTGAGGAAAATAGTTAAAATCGCAATTCACAATTTGACAGCCTTGTTGATGTGTTGATGTATTCTAATTGTTTGATTTGATTGATTGACAAAACCCTAACAATCAGTTTCATTAGTGTATTACTTAAATGGTGCAAGCTTCTCGAAATGTGCATAACATTGGCTGCTTTTCTTTGTCTTTTATGATAAATAAACCAAATATCTTTGTGTTTATTTAGATTTGGAATGGAAAGAGGGAGAGAGGGAGAAGACATACAGCAAAGGGCCATGGGTTGGACTTAAACCGGGGTCACTTCAGTAAGAACTAGGTGAGTTACCTGGGGGCACAATATCTTTTGTCTGAGAAATCAAAACCTCTGAAGACCGTTGACATTGGGGAATGTGTAATTGCCATTTTCTTTGTCAAATATATATATATATAATAATTCTGACACTTGATGAATTGACCCAGAACAGATGATTCAATGTGGAAAATATTTGCTAGTTGCATTCCTATTTTGTAAATAGCTGGTGGAAATGGGGGTGGATATCGAGGAATGTATAGGATGGGAATACAACTATTCTCTCATTGGCCGGATAGGCCGAGTGAATCACTGAAATAGGTTAGAGTCACTCAGCTGTGACGACCCTAATCCACAAACTCTGTTGCTCTCAATCTCTAGCCGGTTCTCTCTACTGTCTCTCTCTCAGCTGATTTATTTAGATGCAACCAACACGTGAGCCGCACAAACTGAATAAAAACACAACAAACACAATGAGCACCGCTGTGATTACATGACATACTATATAGGAGTTAAAACAAAGCACAAGCATAATTCAGTTTAAAAGGATGTACAGACTGAAACACTTTTTTGGAAAAATATGAGAATGAAGAAAGGTGATTGAAGACGAGAAATTATTGTATATGTATGTATAAATGTAAATGTATGTAGGAATAACTTGCATAATGATTTAAAGGACAATCATTGATCAAGTAAGGGGTGGGAATTAATAAGCATTTGCTTCCTCCTACTCCCTTTCGGACACATATGATTTATTATGATTTATTATAACAATACGGTATTCTGTTTTTCACATTTGTTATTTTTTATTTGTTATTTTTTAATCTGTTCGAAATAAAGACTGAAAATGAAAAAAGATGAAAGATATAAAAGATGCTGCGAGGGATGTAGCAGAAAGCCCTGTCATGGGGGGGAGAGACAGACACAGTGGAGGAGCAGACAGTCAGATGGGAAGGCGGGCAGACAGGAAACATACCCATGTCGGTTTGATCTCCCCGAGCGGCTGGAGTGATAGGAGTAGCCCGAGTGGGTTGACTCAGTGTCCATTTCAACAATGTGCAGGGCTGGCGATTGGCCAGGGGGATGAGGAGAGATTTGTTGTGTGGTGGAGAGGGTAAGTTGGCAGCAGTACTCAGGAGGAGGAATGGGTTGCTATAGAGACGGGCCTCAGGAATCCACGACGACCGACAACTACCCCAGAGAGCTGCTGTAGTGTCCACATTGACCTGAGAGATGGAGAGGAAGAATATCAGGCGTCAACAGTTTGTAATTCAGAACAAATGATGTATTGTTTATGTTAGTCATGCAACATATTTCTGCACATGTTGCTGTTTATAATTGTTTTTAATTACAGCATGATTAATAATCAAAATATTAGAGACAACATCCATTTTCATTATCTGTGCTTTGGGACAGAAGGGGCAGGTACTTAATAAGATTGTCTTTCATGAATGTTTGGACCATGCTTTGTCTGCTGTACCTCTATAAAATAAAGGATTGATAATCTTAAGAGTCTATTTGAAAAGCCACATTGCTATACTCTGCACACTGGGCTTGGAATGATATTCAAGAGACACATTTTAATTAGAAACAATACCCTAAAACTAGGCCCACATTCATAGCATGTTTCATGAAGGCTGTAATAAAGTCAAACTGTCTAATTCCCCCCATTTTGTCCCGGTTTCTCTTGTAAAAAAAGTAATGTGTCTCAGGAGACTTCCTGGTTAAATTAAGTTTAAATAAAGAATTACTTCATAGTCCTAGAGACATGAGGTTTAGGGAAGAAAATGGAGGTCAGTTTAACCAGTTTCTACTAGCACCACGGATATACATAGTAAGAAAATAGTTTCAATGTCATATTTGAAAAAATAATAAGAGCAGAAAGACAAATAATCAAGCCAAATAAAAAATACTGCAATCTAGGGTCAGGCAATATGACATTATTGTCAAAACAATATACAAATGTCTATAGTATATATTTTTCTATATTGTTTCTATCACAATATAGACTTTGGCTGTGTATTTCTTTTTCATTTTGCACTGAAGTTCTTAAAATTAGTATGTATAGCACTTTTTATTTATTGCAGGGTTATTTCACACAATAGTATACAAAAAAGGCTTTGTCAAGTATTGTGGGGCTATATATAGCTATATATAGTGTTATATAACATGTTGATATATAAAATGACCTATATCTTGATGGAAGATTTTGGCCATATTGCCAATTATTTCTTGAATATCCACTCTATTCACAATTTGAATAATAAAATAAAAGAATCCCCCATTGTATGTTAAGACCCTCTCTATCTTTTCATTATGCGGTTTGACAGACTCACTTCCTGGGCCCTAATGTCTGCTGTGTGATGAATTAGGACATCTCCAGGCTTCACCATGCATGACCATTCATTTAGACCTCAATCTACACTCTGTCTGTCTCCCTGCTGTTGTCTTGACAACCACCTGCCAATCACCATCCCCAGCCCAGTCTCATTTTACTAACCCGTTTATTTTCCTTCCCGTCATTTTCAGACTATAATGTTATCTCTGTAGCCAGTGATGCATATAAACAGAAAAACAGCCAATTCAGCACATTAGGATGTGAATGCACGCAGCTGCCTGGAGATCATGCTGTGAGAATGATGGTTAGAGGGAGAACTGTAATGTATCTGATTTCCATAAAGATGATGCAGTTGGGGTTGAATGTTACTCTCTCTCTTCATTACCCATCATGGGAAATGTGGACAGTGCAAATAAGAAACCACAGTTTTTCCATTTAGGATTGTCATACAACGCATATAAATTATGTAAAAACGTCACCACTGGCAGGAGGACAGATGTCAGACAAAATAATTTGCAAACAACAGTGTTGTGACAAAATGCAGAGTGGATCGAACGTGAATAAGAAGTCAGAATCAACTCTTGCTATTAAAAGCAGGGGAACATATGCTGAACAAGGCAGAGCTGCATATATGTTTGGGACTTCCATAAATATTGTACTTGAATATACCACTCACAGCATCAAAGCTAGTGTCACAGCATACATTTTTAAACATGAACCCGAGTTTTGACAGAGGAGGGTCACATCTCTCATCCCTAACACACATCTGGAGCGTCCACTGTTTCCTTGGCAACACAGGAGGCTCCATCCAGGAGCAATAATCAATTACCCCTGCTGAGAGTAAATTTGTGTAATGGGTGTGTTGGTGTGTTTGTACGTGTGTGTGTGTGTGTGTGTGTGTGTGTGTGTGTGTGTGTGTATGTGAGAGTAAAGGTGGGGGGTGGCACACTTTGAGGGCACAAAGAGCAAACAATGGTCTCTCATCACACCCATCGCCCGCATGGTTAAATGAATGAGCCAATTATTTGAATGAAAGCTGTTAACCCCCTGAGTGCTGATCTCTGAACGCGTGGCCGTGGTATGTGGGCCAAGATGATTCCCCTGGGAAGCCACTCATCCACGAGACGAGCATGAAGAGGCATAGTGAACCAGGCCATGTGGAAAATCGCAGCCAGGGGGTAAAGAAAACTATCAGTTACAAACCATCGGATAACTATGAATAAAGCATAACAAGGTGCATCAGAGACGAGCCGCTGCATGCTTATTCGGAGTCCGTCCATCCAAAAAATTCAGTAGTCGTCTGTGAGGAACCCTGGGAGGAAAAAGGGATTCTCTAGTGAGACGTAGCTGCAGACCGTTCTGGTTGGCTGCACTGACATGAGATGCACGAGGGCAGAAAGTGACACTAATGTAAAACAAACAGTCATTAGTGTGTTTGTTTAGTGCACTGTGGGAGCTACTGGAAGGCTCAGGGGTACATACATGCGTTATGATGGACTCATTGTTTCATCATCTTTAACATCTGATAGGTTAGGCTATTTGCAGCATTTTTCCCCGCTGATTCAACGCATGAATTAATAATAACACATAAGAATGTTGGGTTTTAGTTAAATGTCCTTGGCTTCACATTTTGGCCTCCAATCCGGGCAGAGAAAGAGAGGTGTGGAATTTCAGATTCCATAAAGTGCTCAATGTAATGTTGGCACCCTAAATGGCACAGATCAGCCTCGTAGCTCATCCAGAGCACATGCTGAGGCCTGGTTACCATGGCATCTGTGCCCACCCTCACACCCATTAGCCCTCGTGCCTGGCTTCCTTCATGTGCGCCCTGCCCTGGTGGCATCATGCCATAATCTGCCAGATGCAGCAGCTGGCAGTTTGCTGGGTGAGTTTATTTTCTCTATCGTTTTTCACAATGTCAAAGCAATCTACAATCTGCAAAGTCCCTTCTACATAATTTTCTTTATTAACTGATTAACCGTTAACTTTCCTGAGCGCAAGGGGTCATCCTCAAATTGCTAGTTTAGACCAAACAACAGTTCAAATGCCAACAGTAGTCGATATACTATCAAAGAAAATAGTCTCAGTGAATGACCACTAAATTTTAGCTATTTTTTTTATAAATAACTTCCAAAGACAATGCACAAATTGTATAATAATTACCGACAAATTGTTTCATCTGTATATTATTTGTAGTGTAATGACACCTGTTCTGGCATATAAGACATGAACAGACACGTAAGTAACACGGGTCAGTAGGCTATGTAGGACCTCTTTGAAATCAAACAATGGCTGACACAGTGTGTGCCAGTGTAAGTCCAATCCCTACATGGGCTTCAGATAACCCAGAGGAACAGCTGCTGCCTAACTGCGTTATAACAACGCTGTTAACTGACGAAAAAACACCCAATGGAGCTTAAGACATGGCGGCATGTAACACCCATGGAAATTATTTCTTGGACCTCGCCAACGGGGTATATGATGTCATTTTCCTGTGTGCTTTCTTTCATTGTTTGCTGTGACATTTGATGCCTTGTGCAAAGGTATTTGTCAGATATGTGTGGAGAGAAAACCTTTGACCTTTGAGTGACTTGTGAGAGTCTCAGCCACTCCCACCCTGATGCTTTTTCACACACACACACACACACACACACACACACACACACACACACACACACACACACACACACACACACACACACACACACACACACACACACACACACACACACACACACACACACACACACACACACACAACACACACACACACACACACACACAACACACACACACACACACACACACACACACACACACCACACACACACACACACACACACACACACACACACACACACACACACACACACACACACACACACACCACACCACACCACACACAGAGTAAAAGGAGAAAGTTAAGACCTGACACAGTTCTCTGGAATGCAAACTTGTTCCCTCCCTGATCCGCTCATGTGGAACTAAATAAAAGTACAGTAGAGGGAGAGAAGTGGTGAGAGAGATAACTCACTACATTCCTACTTTAAGAGCAGTGCTTTTATGCCGTGCTGTACACTACTCTACAATGCATCACGCATTACAGTGTGCATCCAAGCTTTGCAGGATCCTAATGCTCCTCAGTAGCCTAAAGGTAGCTGAAAGGTAGCTCCACTTCTCATTAAACTCGATGCACTGCCAGCCAGAAAAAATACACGGTTTAAAAGAAAAAAATGACAAAAGCAGTGCTGACACTCCTTTCTTTTGATCATTCATGGCGAAAATAGCCTCCATTATTCCAGGGGGTGGTTCATCTATCCAAGGGGGTCCCATACCCTAAACCTCTGTGCACAGGACCTTTCAGCACTAATCAATAATACATGTCTGTAGGTGACGAACAGTTACACTGCAGCATCAGGACTCTGAGATAATGAAGAATACAGCACATATAGTGCCAGAGGAGGCACATGAAGAGGCTTCAGTCATAGTAACACCTCATCCAGCTGTGCCCAGTGGTGTGCTCTCCAGACAGCTGCTGATGATGGCGACACACACCATCACCCTGCAGCAGCCGTTTGCATATTACGCCCTTTATTTCAGAGGCTCGCTCCAGGGTCTGAGATAAAGCTAGGGATGTGATGTTACTTCTCTGTTACTCAGCTGCAGTTTCGGTTACAATATATCTGGTTTCAGTCACATCCTGAACACCATTAACCACAGCAGGTTATCACCTCAAATTATGCGTGCATATTCTGGTTCTATCTATTTATACACACTACTACTACTACTACTACAGTAATAGGCACAGGGGCAGTGTTTAAAAAAGAACACTGCCCATATAGCAATAATACAAATCGGCAAGGTTACCTGCTTATAAATATCGGATAGGAGCACTAAATGCTACATCTGTCTGAAGAGAAGGAAACCATTTTCCACGACGGCAGCATTGAACTTCATCAGTAATTCCTGCGAGAGGTTGAGTCTCAGGCGTTTGGAAACATAAACCCGGTGTAATGAACGCAGCATCGCGACAATCAATTCATTTACCTACCTTTCTTTTCTCAGAAGTGTGTCATATTCCTCCACTTGCGTCTGGGTGTCAGTGTTTGGTTGGATCTGCTGCTGAGGCACGCCGTTCTGCACTGACACGGGCAGCTCCCTCACAAGAGCCTGGCCATTGTGGTTAGCGGTACCAGAGAGAGAGGCAGCATGGAGGTACAATACACTTCAAGTGCACTAAAACTAGTGTTTCAGCTGTTGCCCACAAGAGGGCGTTATTTACGTCAGATATAGACTTGCTAAAGGCAGGAAGGTCTTCTATTTTCTCTGTGAATCAGTGTGTGAAACCCCCCCTCCATTCAAAAATGTGTTTGGTTATTATTTTTCACTTTGATGTTGACAGTCATTGTATAGACTGCATAGTGTATGTGCAGAGACACTAAGTGACACTAGGTTGTACAGTCTATCATCAAATTCAAACTACTGTGATATGGAAGCCTTCTGAAAGGTGTATTCTCTAGGTTTCCATACATTTTTCAGAAGAGAAACGTAAAAACGGCGTTGAGGTGTATCTTGTCTTGAAAGGGCCTCAGGATTTACAGCAGCAGCAGTGCATTTGAGACATTTTTACCTCTGGACTTTTGGAGGCATACATCTGCCACAAAATCCTGATTTCACTCTCTAATTTGAGGCAGTCCATCTCTCTCTCTTAAGATAAATTATAGGGAAAAAGGGCCTTTTTTCTAACTATAATGAAAATGGTCCTTTCTGCACTGAGGAAAGCAGAAGCCATGTTGGGGGTGTTTTTGTGGAAAAAACATATTTCCTGTTCCTGTTTTGACCAAATGCACGCTGCTGACAGCCAATGAAGCCAATAAATCAATTTTCAGTGGTCCAAGAAACATACAGAACATGTAGCTATTACCTTGGATATCTTCTGAACAGCAACAACCTCTCGACCTATAACTCAGGAAGGGAGGTGATTAAAAAAAAAACATAAGTAACCCACTTCAATTTATTCCTTAGTGATCTTACACTTGAAACACCACGTGAGCTCAAGTAGATCAGGCACAATAATGCATGCATGCAGGCATCAATGGTACAGAAACACGCGTCCATACAATTGTCTCAACTACATTTTAGGAAAGTTATTTTTAAAACAAAAAGATGCAGAATTCTATTTAAAATATCTATTCACATAAATAAGTGAATGTGGATTTTTTACAGTTTCATCTCACTATATGAGGCTCCATCAGAGGGCAGTGTTGCTCCTTTCACAGCGGAGTGTGACAGAGTCGTATTCAGACTTAAATAGCCTTCAGATCTTACTTAGTTTTAGTATTTGACCCACATTGGCTGAAACTATACAGGATATTAATAATCCTCAATGTATTGCCTCTACAGCATTCCCTGCCCCATTAATCTTAAAATCTGATGCTAAGGCTGGCCTCTCTCCCTCGAGTCCCCAACATACCTATTGTATGCAGTGTGTAGACCGAGTGTGTAGTGTGTGTGATGTATAGACAAAAGGCTGTCACTCTTGCTGCTGGAGTGGACATGAACAATACGACGAGCCCCTTGGGCCACATTACACCGCAGAGACTTGCATAAAGGGACGAGCGAGGGAGCACAGACAGCTCTGACTAATGGAGAGAGAAATCAAAGGGACACGCAGGAGTTTGTATCCTCTGCCTGATCTCAGACCAAAATATTAAAGCTGTCTCTTGGTAATGGCCAAAGCCTGGGTAGTATGTCAAAACACTGAAAACAACTTAATGGTTCAATGTGAACATAAATGATTTATATACCCATTTGACTAAAATCACAAAAAAGACCACGTGCAGCTTTACAGACTCTACTGATGTTAGCAAATATTTATCCACCCGGGAAAATGTTACAGCAAATTCCATTTGAAAATATAGTCCTGGGACTGTTTTGCTTATAAAGGACGTTTTTTCGTTTTTCTCATACTGATATTCTGAACGATCTGTGCTGTTGTATTTGCTGTAAAGTGTCTCTACTGTAGGCTATTTGTATTATATGTACAGCACTTTGGCTCGACCAAAAATCATTTATTAATGTGCTATATAAATAAAACTTGATTTGATTTGATAAATTACATTTAACATTATCACAATTTTATTCAAATCATGTTGGTATTTACTCAAACACCGAGCCAAATGCACTACTTTTTTTAGCTTTTTAAATGGAAATCCCATGTATTGTTATGAAAAAGATGCGACTGACTGTTTTTGTATATGTTGATATTACTGTCTCATTTGTGTGTATATACTTTTGTGTGTGTCCCCAGAGAGGCAGCAGACGGGTGGCTCCAACATGGTTGCTTTGGTTCATCTGGAGAAACACCTGCCCCATCCAGAGGGAGAGAAACCCCAATACCTCACCCATGTGGCAGAAGAACAGCTTATGTAGTAGCTTCCAGGCTTTACTTAAATTAAAACAAGGAATATCAAATGCTTGCAGAAGAGGTATGTTTAAATGATATATAATAAGGCAGACGGATCAGATGTTGCTATTATTGCTACAATAGGATAAAAAAAGAAAAATGTTTTCCACATTTTATTTTCAACATATGGATTTAGCTGCAACTGAAACTATCACAACAGTTAATGGAACATTTTTGAGTAATTTAAACAAATATATTTACAAATGTGTGCAAACAGGAAACCAAGTTTGTCAAGGCAAGACAAGGCAGCAAATTTAACATCAAGCATATCAATATTTTAGTATATTTTCTACACAAATATTATATTAAACATCTGTTTTCATTCTTATAACAGTATGAATGTAGTCCTTCAACTGTTTAACATAAATACTGATATGTAGAAAATAAACCCCAGATATGAAATGGCATTCTTCAAATATTGTGCTACAAAATCTTTTGTGAGTGAGTTTGAGTGTTTCATTGAGAAATCATTCAGCTGTCAAGGATACAAACAATCATCCTGCCTCAGTCACCATCCTCCTATTGGTTCCTAAAAGTCTAAACATCCAGCACATGGTTGAGGTAGGAGATGTAACAAATTGCAAGTCTCAGGATCTCAATTTTGGACAACTTCTTGTCTGGTGGGAGAGTTGGGAGCAGTTTTCTCAGCTCTGAGAAGGCCCTGTGGAAGGACACCACACGGACCCTCTCCCTGGTGGCGTGCGCACATCGATATTTGGCTGTGGCACGCCTCCTCCGCCTCTTCTCCTCCCTGCTGAGAGTGGGCAAATGAACTGAGTGCGCCTGGCCATCTACCTCCTTAGGTTCAGCTGGCATGGACCCACACTGCACATTGAAAGTGTCCAGAAGGGTCTCCGTGTCCGATTCTCCCCAAGGCAGGTCGGACTCAGGCAGGTCCGGACAGAGCATCATGATCCTGACAAAATCAGTACAAGTTACCCCAACATTTACTAGCTTCGATATTAGAGTAATTTATTTACTTGAATATAAGAATGATTTAATGATGATTATACTGTTCTGAAATGGGCCATTTTGCAAAATTAGTACCTTTACTTTGGGTAATACATTAGCCTAGTATAGGTGATATTTTTGTACTAAAGTACAAGTTGTGAGTGCTTCTTTCTCCACCAAAATGTATCTTATTACATAGAATATCTCACGGTTCAAACAGCTTATACATTCTAAAAATGCAGTACTTAAAATAAATTAGAAGCAAATCATATAAAAAATGCTCTACCTGTTTAACACCGAGTTGTTGTATGCCATTATGATAACTGTTTGGTTGTGTTAATTGCATCTTTGGTTGCTGCTCTGAATAGTCAGATGTATTACATTTGGTCAGTACATTTGTGAAACAAAGGACCCTAAAATAAAAGTGACTGATGCTGCCACCCAGTGGATGATCTACATATATTTTAATTTCGCAGAGCACTACGCTGTCCGAGGTGCTGAAACAAGATCAAGACAATAAAACGAATGCAGATTAGTTGATTTAGGATAATTTAAAACACTTTTTCAAAACAATTCAGAAAACAAAACATAAATTCCAATGAAAATGTATTGTAACACTTGTCTGGCATTTCCCAATATTTGTTAAAGAAAAACGCTTTTTACAGCATCAGAATAGCTGGTTCTTTATATTGCATTTAATGTTGCGTTTGAATTTTATATTTGTTTATAGAATCAATTTGTTTTAATTGACCAGCCCAGGTCATAAAAACATCACAATATGCAATAACTGGACTGCAAGAAGTGCAAACACATTGTTTGTCACTTACCTTCTACAAAGAATAGAGCTGTACGATTGAAGATTCTCACATTAAAGCTGCATTCAGTCCTAAAAACAGTCAGGGCAGGTATCCGCGAGTAAAGTTGTCTCCATGCAGTCTTGTTTTGTTTACAGTTGAGTCGAATTAAATTGCTGAAAACAAGACGAGGGTGAAAAAAAACTCTCGAGTCCTTTCAGTACCGTCCTGTGATCTGTCCGTCATTGTTTCAGGTGCACATCACATCATTCAGCGAGGCAAAATCTGGCTTGTGCTCTGCTGGTTTTTCAATCCCAAATTCGCCTTGTGCGCAAAACAACACTCCCCTATCTCCTCGTAAAACTGGAGCGAAGTGACGACACAAACAGCGAGATGAGTGTTTGTTGCTTTCACTTTCATTCTCAGTAGAGGACATGTGCCTGTATACGTACGTGCATGGCAGTTAAGAGTTTCAGACATGTCTTCATAAAGGTTACAACCCGGTGAATTTATTAGCAGATTAGTTGTCGATGAACCTAACTTGATTACAGTCTACTAGACGCGAAACTACTTCCAATGACGCCACATCTTCCCGGATCCTGCATAAGGTCAAGTGAGCACCTGTGTCTAAATTAAAGCAATCGTGAAATGTGTTTTACAGTGTCATTGCCAAAAGAAAAAAAGCCCCCCAGTTTTTAAAAACCCAAAAACGGAAAGCTCACTGAGCATTTTTTCTGAAGAGACTGATATTGTGATACATGATATAGCCCGTTCGATAGCTGTGAATCTATAAACAGTGCACAACATTTGTTGTTAGTTTCAGAGCACATGCTTTGCCGTTTGCAGCACTAAAGATGGGCCCTTGGTTGATGGAGGTTCAGGGGAGGGGTAGTTAGGAGAAGGGGTAGTGTAAGATAGGGTGACCAGACGTGACGTCCCCGTTTTCCGGGGGCCGTCCCCGTTTGTATTGGCC